GGGACTTGTGTCCTGGATAACATGGAATCACAAGAGAACAGTGGCTACATTTGGTCTGGTCATTGCATCATGGTCACAGTCTAGTAAATTGCTGGTTAAAGGCACTCACCATCTCCTTTTATGATGTCTGTGTGAACTTGTGTCCTATGGTATCACCCAGAGATTCCTTCTGTGGATACCTTGGAAGCCCATGGAACGACTCTATGGTGTCCTGCACAATGAAGAGAACAGCTTCACCCGAGTGACAGATCCATGGTAGGAGGCAAGGCTTCCCCAAGGCTAAGAAAAACCAGCAGTGCTGACAGGGTCACAGCTCTGAGGAGAAAGATCTGAGTTTAGACCCAAATCCTCCTCCTGTCTTCCTATGTAAACCTAGACAAGACACTCTCCCTCAGGTCTTTCACAGAGTGTCCCCATGCACTATAGAGGTCATCTTGGCATCTACTTCCAAGGGACATTATCACCAGTCTGAAATGACAATTGTAATGCCTGGTAGCTGGTGTCTTGTGTACATAGTATACAGAATTAGAGGTTAAATCCAGGAATGGGCGCAATGAACGTGGAATACAGTGCTGCCTGGTGGTAGAAATGACACTGACCTCCTGGACATATTCCCTGGAGGCATTGTGAGGAGTTAGACGTTCTTCAATTCAATCATCTTTATGTTCCCTAAGCATCACAATCTCTGCTATGTACTGGTGCTATGGCCTCGAGTCAGGAACTCACACAGGCTATGCAAGCACTATGGATGGAGTTGCACCCCAAATCTTCTGGCATTGCTTCTACATTCACACCTTTGCAAATTAGCACTCCTATGACCTGACTCCTACTCAATAGCAGACAGCTGATCTTCTAATGCAAAAAGCTGAGTAGCCCATTCCCTACATTATTGGCCTCACTTAGTCGATTATTTTTATTATTACTATTATTAGTGTTGTTATTTTGCATTAGCAGTGCTGAAATTGAGCCCAGGGCCTTATGCATGGTAAGCAAGTACACTATGCTGAGCTCTCTCCCCAGCTCCTGACTCACTGTTAAATAACTGACAATGGCAGACATCATGTGATGCGAATACTAAGGTTCACGCATTAAAATAACTGTTATACATCTTCTGTTCTTTCCCTCTTTTGTTCTCTCTTATATTTTAGTATTTATTTTTCTCCCTCTCTGGATCTCTGGCTGTGGGGCAGTCACTGCTGTCTCTGAAGCTTGCAAGAGGAGAGGCTGATGAGCTTTGAGTGAGAAAAGGGAAAACAGTCCAAAAGGAATCAGGCTTTTGCCTTGGGTCCTGCAGCCACACCCAGCATCAGAGAAACCCTAACCCCCACTGCCACGCCCACCGCCTCATTCTTGCCTCCTGGAGGGCTCTGCACCTCCTGTGTCCCAGCTTCTGGCCCCACCACTCACATCGCTTGGCCCCACCCCCTGGGCCCGAGGGAAGATTACACTCCACCTGGCCCAACCTGGGCGGCCCGTGCCCAGGGACGGTCCCTAGCCACTGGCCTCCACATCCCACTCAGTCCCACCCCGCTCCCGGCCTCGCTTCACAGGGGATGCACGGAGTGGCCATTTTGCCGCTAGCGACCCCTTCTGGAGACCTGAGCACTCTTCCTTCCTTCCTCGGCCTAGGCTGTGGCTGGGCTGGGACTGGGGTCTGGCCAGGTAGGTGGACAGCAGCAGGTGTTGAGTGGTGGCGCTGCCCGGTTGCCCGGATTTTAGCGGCACAGGTGCCCTTGGTGGGGGGGGGGTCCGGGGAGGCTGCGGGCGCGGCACTGGGGCGACCTAGCCTCAGGTCTTCAGGGCCCTCTCTCCTTTCCTCCCTCCTCTCTGTCGGGGTCTGCATGGCCAGCCTGGCAAGGGGCCTGGGATCCTCCCGGGCACCCCCCCACCCACCCACTAGGTGTTGTTGAAAGCCCAGCCCTTGTGTGAGACCTGTGGCAGAGAGGCTCAGAATCTCACATGGCCTCTGTTGTCAGTGAGCCGCGGACATTTACCCCAATAGGATGATTTTATTTCACTTGGAGCTCCTCCCTTCAGACTGAGAGAGGACCTAGATGTTAAACTAAGACAGCAGTTCTTATTTTACCTGCACATGCTTTGTCTCCAGTCCATTCCATTGATAAGGGCTTTCTGCTTGTTTTAATATTGGCACCTCTTGGGTGTTTAAGCTTTGTGAGGAGTCTGATGTGGCATGGGGCTTTGAAGGATGAGGAAGTGTGATCAACAGTTTAAAAATTTAAGTCCACAAATAAGAATAATTCCCCACATTGTTGAACCTGCTGCAGAATACCCATCTTGTCCTTATTCGGCTGTCTCTAACCATACTCCCCAGTTGTGCTCACATCATTTGTGTATTTGCGTAGTGTTGAATATTTATATTGTATGCATAGGTAGAGTTTTACTTAGTTATCCTGTTACTGACCATGTACACAAGTCTAGTTCCTCTTAGAAAAACTGCATTGAGTATATATCTTTTTTTCTTGGGATAAATTCCAGACATTGGAAGTAGAAAATCAAAGTTCTGTGTTCTTTCCCTGGTACTTGATATGAATTGCTTCTTAGACAAGACATGTTAACAATAGACACCTTGAAAAATTTAGGTATTTGCCCAATTATATGGAGAAATTTGGAGTTCAGTAAGGTGTTGAGTCATTTTCTGTACCAGCTGAGAGGCCACACCACCTACGGTTGGATTTTATTTTTAACTGATGTACCATGATAATCCTTTTGTTTTGATTCACTCTATTATGTTTTATTTCATTTGGTTTTATCCTCTTGACAATTAAAAAAAAAACACTTTCTTGCAAGGCATTGTGGTGCATGCCTGTAATCCCAGCACATGGGAGTGTTAGACTCGAGGATCACAGGGAGTTCAAGGCTAGCCTGAAATACTTGTTGAGTCAAGGTCAGCCTGCAGTACATAGCAATACCTTGTCTCAAAGGAAAATAAAACAAACAAACAAACAATTTTTTTCTTCTTTTTTATTTTAATGTAGCACAGGTAGATGTTAATAAAGTATGAAAACAATTTTATAAATAGATTAATTTTTTCATAACAGAATAATGGTTAATACACTGTATTCAATGATCCCAGGGATTTCTGTATGAGCTATATGCCCATGCACTTTAAAATTTGTTGTTGTTTTTTTAAATTTTTGACACAATCTCTAAATAATTTACTCAGCTCTCCAAGTTGGGTTTAAACATGTGGTCCTCCATCCTTACTCTCCCTGAGTGCTTGGAGTACAGGTATAGAATATCTTCCATTGGTAATTCACAATAGTTATGAATGTTTGTGGGGTAACATGTACTTTTGATCTATGGCTCCTTTGTAGAAAGAATCAATCCAGTTAATGTGTCTACGACGTTACTAACCTACAAATACTTTCACAGTGACTACAACTGCAAATCCCATTGTTTAGCAGTTTTGAAAGCTATCCTTCTTATTAACTGTGGTCACCATGCAGTTTAGTAATCATTGAAAATTTCTTCTCCATTGGTAATGAGACTTTGTATTCTTGGATGAAAACCCTCCTTTCCCCATCCCTCTTGGTACTGATCATTCTTTAAAATCAAAGTGACCAAGAAAGATGTGGAGGCTCAAGCTGCTTGGGGCACACTGCTCTCCAGAAAGACCAGGTGATGGTGCTTTGTAGCCCTTCAGCTTGCTCCCAATTTTTTTCCTTAACTCAATTCAGGGAATTGAATGCAGGCCCTTGCACTGAACTTCAGTAAATTCTGATTTTAAATTTCTTTTTTATTTTGAGTCAGGGTTTGCATAAGTAAGTACACTGCTGAGACACCAATCTTGGGCATAGATTCTTACATTTCTGTGCATGAACATACATTGATGTCAGAGACATTTCATTTTCAAGACCAAGATATTCCATGCACACATCCTACTCTAAGCAGTGTATTACTTTGTGATCAGATTCCTTTTTCTCTTATCTTGTGGGCCCAGAAAGACTGAGCTCAGCATCCCCGCAGCTTTCCCTGGTTCTTGTGATCCATTCTAATCCCTTGAACTCTCTATGTGAAGTGTAGCAAGGCTCCCAGTGTCCTCCTGCTTCAAACAGTGCAGTGAACCACAGTCTTAAACACAAAGCCTGAAAAGTTATGTGGATCTCTGTGTGGGATAAATCTCTATTGTGAGCATTGCAAGGTCTGGGGACACCTGTCTAGAGCTGTGATGGGAGCTACTGGACAGGGCTCTTCTCTGAACACCATGTTCTCCCCAGTGATGTTCAGCACTTGCCTTAAAACCCGCCATCAGATGGGGACACAGCACATGTCAGGGATGTGTGCCTGCATGAATCAGCTTTGGGAATCTAAGCATTTTCTACATTTGTTTACATGTGGTGATTCTCTTTTGAATTACAAGAATTTTTCATCTCTCACAGAATGGACTCATGACACCTCTTTGTCACTTCTAATACAAACTATTTATCTGCCTACTGCATGTAAGCAAAGATTTCTTATTGTGGATTATACATTATTCTTGTTTCTGTTTTTCAAATGTAAAGAATCAGATCTTTCTCTCTCCCTTGTACCACTGAAATCATGGGAAAGCTTTTCCAACATGAAAAGATGAGTAGATAAACAATAGTCTTTACATTTTATCTGTACACTTTGGTCTACCCAGGATTTTGTCTTCTATCGAAGAGCAATAGCAGCCAGTCTCCTCTAGGAATATTTGGTCAAACATTGTCTGATGCACGAATATTAAAGACCCAGAGAGCTAAATCACATGGTGAAAAAATCAGAGTGAGTGGGGAATAGTAAGAGAGTACAAGAATATGGAAGGCTACAAAACTGAGCAGAGTGCTGGAACTCAATGGATGTGGAAATTGTACAAATTGGTGATGTGATGACATGCTACTGAATTGAATATGTTGAAATGCATGATATCTTCACTTTAAATTAAAATTAACTTAGAATTTGATGTTGAGAATAATTATAGAGATAGGAGTAAAAATCAAAACTGAAAGAAATACTAGGGGATGGGTTACAAGTGGCTGGGAAGGTAAAAGCAGGTACTTTGCAGGACATGGCCTAAGTGGAGTTCAAGACACCTGTCATGGCGTGAGTAAAAGTGCCAGTTATGGAATTCCTTAAGAGTGCGTGCCTCACCCTAGTTTTCACTTTGATCCCAGAGCTGGTGAGGTCAATGGAGGTGCAGATGACCAAAGCTCTGCAATTGGGACTTGAAGTTAGTCATGAACCAGCCATGCATCAGCAGAAGGAGAACAATCACCAACTGTCCTGGCTCCTTGCAGGGCCCAGAACTTCCCAGTGCCTGTCACAGACAACTCTGTTCACAAATCCACCCCAGCAAAGTTTCTCACTCAGGTTTGACCAACTCATTTCTGCATGCCTCAGGGTTGCATGAGGTCCCAAGACTGGCAGTCTTTCTCCTTGTCAAGTGTCCCATGCACTCATCAGAGACCCACAGGGAAAAGCCAAAATCTTCTGAACGCAGTGTTTAGTTTCAGTGAGCTCAGGTTGATCCAATTCAGCTGGGACATCTTGTAGAATTGGACACCAGCATTCTTCTCCAGTTGCACAAAGCCCAGCCCAGCCTTCTCTCTGCCTTGAATGGGACAGTGCTGGTCCAAGAAGACTTCCCCTGCTGATAGTAGTCCCTAAAAGTGCTGTGACCACCATGCTTCGTTCTTTAGGAAAGCATGGAATCCATCTTCCTTTCCCACCCTCGTGGTGTTGTCTCTGTGAGAAAGAGAATGGTGTCTGCAGTGTTGCTCTACTTGTGCTTACTCTACAGGGTTGGTGCACTGCAAATATCTGTGAAATGAGTGGTCAGAGGGACTGTGTTCTGCCTGCCATTCCTTCCTCTTCAGTTCATATAGAGATGCATCATTCCATTATGTGTGTCTTCTGGGGCACCTATTCCTCTATTATGTGTTCACATACACAGAGACCAGGTATTTAGAATCATTCACAGTAATGTGGGTAGTACCTGATCTGTTCTTTAGAGGGACTTGTGTCCTGGATAACATGGAATCACAAGAGAACAGTGGCAAAATTTGCTCTGGCCATTGCATTAGGGTCATAGCCTAGTAAATTGGTGGTTAAATGCACTCACCAGCTCTTTTTATGATGTCTGTGTGAACCTGTGTCCTATGGTATCCCCCAGAGATTCTTACTGTGGATACCTTGGAAGCCCATGGAATGACTCTCCAGTGTCCTTTACAATGAAGAGAACAGCTTCACCCATGTGACAGATCCATGATAGGAGGCAAGGCTTCCCCAAGGCTAAGAAAAACCAGCAGTGATGACAGGGTCACAGCTCTGAGGAGAAAGATCTGGGTTTAGACCCAAATCCTCCTCCTGACTTCCTACATAAACCTAGACAAGACACCATGCCTCAGGTCTTTCATGGAGTGTCCCCATGCAATATAGAGGTCATCCTGGCATCTACTTCCTAGGGATATTTTCACCAGTCTGAGATGACAATTGTAACGCCTGTTGGCTAGTGTCTTGTGTACATAGTGTACAGAATTAGAGGTTAAATCCAGGAACCGGTGTGATGAACGTGGAATACAGTGCTGCCTGGTGGTAGAAATGACACTGACCTCCTGGACATATTCCCTGGTGGCATCATGAGGGGGCAGAAGTTCTTCAATTCAATCATCTTTATGTTCCCTAAGCATCACAATTTCTTCTACGTATTGATGCTATGGCCTCGAGTCAGGACCTCACACAGGCTATGCCAGCACTATGGATGGAGTTGCACCCCCAAATATTCTGGCATTACTTCTACATTCACACCTGTGTGAATTAGCACTCCCATGATCTGACTCCTACTGAATAGCTGACAGACGACCTTCTGATGCCAAAAGCTGAGTAGCCCATTCCCTACATTATGGGCCTCACTTACTGAATTATTATTATTATTATTATTATTATTATTATTAGTGTTGTTATTTTGCATTAGCAGTGTTGAAATTGAGCGCAGGGCCTCATGCATGGTAACCAAGTACTCTATACTGAGCTCTCTCCCCAGCTCTTCACTCACTCTTAAATAACTGAATATGGCAGACATCATGTGATGCAAATACTAAGGTTCAAGCATTAAAATAACTGTGACCCATCTTGTGTTCTTTCCCTCTTATGCTCTCTCTTACATTTTAGTGTTTATTTTTCTCCCTCTCTGGATCTCTTGCTGTGGGGAAGCCACTGCTATCTCTGAAGCTTGCAAGAGGAGAGCCTGATGAGCTTTGAGTGAGAAAAGGGAAAAGAGTCCAAAAGGCACCAGGCTTTTGCCTTGGGTCCTGCCTGTAAGCAAGGGACAGACCCTGAGAGCAAATTATGCCCTAGTGCCATCTCCCCTGAGCCTGTCTTTACAGAGATATGATTGTAACAGATCCAGCAAAGCCTCTTGGATTCCTGATACACAGCAACTCTGATAGAACAGAGTTTATCTCTTATATGAACTGACCTTTCTTCTATCACATGTGTCTTGTCACATTTTCAAAATGTATGTAATGACTGGATAGAATTTGACCTCTCTGCCTTCTTTCATCAATCATAATCATTAAGGATTATGTACAGTGAGATTGCTGTACAGTGTTTTCCCATGGATTTTCTTTCGTAGGTTCTCACTTCATGGTTTTCTGTGTTTTTTTTTATTCATTCAAATGTTATTGGATATTCACATTGCAATTTTCAGTTGTTGGAAACAAAGTTCATGTGAATATCTTACAAAATTCTCTTCATGACATAGACAGGATTCTATGTACAGAATCCTAAGATAGTCAGATTAGTTAATGTGAAATTAACTGTCAAAATGATATCTGAAGTGAATTTACCACAAGCAAGAGAGAAGAAATTTTCTTTGTGCACTTCCTCACCAATACCAGTATGTTTTGCTGAAAAAAAGAAAGTCTGCTTTTGTGCTCTTCAAAACAAAAGCAGGGTTTCTCTTGTGGAATGAATATTCGTTTACCTGATAATTGACAATGATAGGAGGCGTGTAGAAACTGTGAAGGGTTCATGTGACTGCCACGGGCATGTTGAAGGCCTTAGAAGTGATAGAATTGTGAATCCCATGGAGGACTTGGAATCACAGCTGGCTCCTGTTTAAGTCACACTGCATGACCCAGGGAGTGCTGACCTCTCCTGAAGTTAAGGCCCCATGACTAGGACAGTCCCTGTGAGAGTTCCTTGGTATTGCATGACAGGCCTACTACTTGACAGAAGATGGAGATGGAGGAGCCCCTAGCCCAAGGAGAGGGACTCAGGGGACTCTCCTCTCTACCCATAATACATGTGTACAATCTAGACAGCTTTGGAATATGGGAGCAGCCAAAAGAGTTAAAGCAAAATGTGAGTGAAACAGTCCCACCATGGGTATTATACCTATTGGAAAATGACAAAAAGAAAAGGCAAAATGCAATCTCAAACATCTAGTCCATCAGGAGAAAGACCAACCTACATTGAAATAGAGGACTTTAAAAGTCATAAATCAGAAACCTCAAAAGATAGAAAATGAAGTAAAGAAATAAATCTATGATGCTATAGAGGAAATTGAATTAGAAATAATTTCTCATGTAAAGAAATAACAACTATAGTAAACTAGTTGCTCAACATAGCTAGAGAAGAAATACATAAAACAAAAATACAGGAGCATGGTAAATTGAAACTATGAATGAACAATGTAGAAAACAAGCAGAATCTATGAAACATATGTAAAGAGATAGTCAAGAAACAAAAAAATATACTGAAAGCTGGCAAAACCATTTAAATGAAGCTGAGGATAGAATTTCATAATTTGAGGACAGTATTGCAGGGAGTGATCATGAATGTGTAGAACATATAAAAATAACAAAGCATCATGAAATGACAATCCAGCAGCTTAAACATGATGCCAAGAGAAGCAATGTAAGACTCATAGACATCAGTGAAAATTCAGGAGTCAATGCAAATGACATAACTAAGCTATTCACATAAATAAAAACAGAAAAATTTCCAAACATGAAGAAAATTCTGATATACAAAAAAGTGAGACACACAAAGTGCCAAACAGTCACAACAATCATAAGTCTATGTTCAAACATATAATAATTAAGATCCCAGATATACAGCATAAAAACAGAATAGTAAAACTGTTAGAGAAAAGACACAACACACCTGTCCAGTAAAGACTATGATTACTATTAAGGCAAACTTTTCAGCACAAACCTTCAGGTTAAGATGAGTTTGGTGTGAAAAATTTCAAGCCCTAAAAGAAAACAACTTTCAACCTAGACCTATGTACCCAGAAAAAGTGTCTTTCAAATTTAATGGAGAAACAAGATACTTCGATGACAAAGAACGACTGAAGAAATTCATGTCAATCAAACCAACCCTAGAAGGATTACTGAAAGACATGCTACATAGAGATAAAAATGACCACAATCTCCAGAACAACAGAAAGAAATGACCAGGCTGGGCAAGAAATTGAACAAGGCAGAAAAGCAGGAAATCAACAACAGGAATACTACATGGCAAAGTCAAGGAAGTACATTATCAGTGATATTTAAAAAGGTAAATGGACACAACTCACCTATAAAAAGAAACAGGTTGACAGAGTGGATCAAGAAACAGGAACCCACAATATGCTGTATACAAGAAACACATTTTACTAAAAAAAAAAAAAAAAAAAAAAAAAAAACTTCATAGGTTAAAAGACAAAAGATGGAAAACAGCTTTCAATGAAACAGGAACCCAGAAAAAAGCAGGATAGCCATTCTGTTTGCAGGAAATGTGAACTTTAAACCTAAAATGTTTAAAGGAGATAAAGAAGGCCACTACATATGTGTAAGTGAGAAACTACAAGAGGAAGAATTACAAATATATATGCATCAAATACAGGAGCACCCAGCTATATGAGACAAATACTAATGGACATGAAAAATCAAACACAAGTATATAATTGAAATAGGAGACCTTAACACCCCACTGTTAGAGATAGATCAATGAGACAAAAAGCATGGGGTTTAAGAGGGCAGCTAGTTTAACAAAGAG